GGTCAGAATACATATTGTAACGGGAAATATGGGAGCTGCTAAGTAAGAAAAAATACCTGAGCACCGGTACCAAAGTCATCAACTCACGGGTAAGAGGAAAAAGAAACCAATACGCGATCGTCACGATAATTATGGATAAAAGTTATATCTTGCGGAAATAATGCTTACTTCATTAACCGTTTCTGGGGGCGGCTGGAAACTGGAGAATTCGTCAATTATAGTCTGGAGGCTGGTGACTTGATCATCATCATTTATTAGGAAGGGATCATCACTGTTCCCGTTTTGTTCAGAAAGCGCAATCGATGCCTCAACGAGGGAGGAAGGAAGCGATTCGTCCTTAAGCTGGAATATAATTTGACATAATTAGTTGCCTGGTGGACTTTGTAAAGTTTGATAGGAAAGATTGTTAGATTTCGAACAGTCAAAGGCCTAATGAACCTGCGTTTACCATTGCGCACAAAAATATTTTGAGCTTAAGAAAATCGACTTCACCGCTCGGCACGAGTGTGGTGCATCAACAGAGGTGTTGGAAACACTCATTCGCAGTCCTTTTACGTCCACGGAATCTTAATAAAGCACAGATTGACTAAAGCATCGCAGGACAATAAAAGGTGGACGACACTGAACTGAGGTAGATGACGCTGTTTAAGGGTTTCGACCTCACGTGTGACTTGGATCCCATACTCTGGATACATTACTGATACGGGGGGTGTACTGTAGTCACCGAGTAACATTTTATCAGTCATTATTACCGGCTATTGCACGGTTCATCAAAATATTCTATATTGTCCGCCATTTGTGAGAATGAGTTCTAAAGCTAAAATAGAAGGTTCCTCAAAATTACGTTTTCTAAAGTAGATTGTCTAGGATGTTTCAACCCAATAAACTTCGATGAAAATGTGAAGGACTATCAGATATGGGCTAGTTTGCTTATACATTACATCTTTTATTGTACTGAATCACGCGTAGTACCATCGTTAAAACCGAGTGATCAAAGTAAGTGACAAACTATAGATGTATACGTTGTTAAATTCCAATATTAAGAATTAAAAATTGTTTTCTCAGTGGTTGTCGGTGTCTGTGTTAAGGACGGCTTTCGCAGTCCGAATTGTTTGAAACCGATGCCCCTTAGTCTAAAAACAAACGAGCGAAGATAAACAGCATGGTTGTTAAAAGAAAATGAATCGAGGGTAGAATTGACTACTTCCAATGAGATGGAAACTTTGGCGGTCTCTGGAAACATTTACGGATGGTGGGTCGTTGGCTTTCAAAATGCATGGGATTTCCTTTTTATCAGTGTACGACGTATAATGATTTCTTACTGAAGACGCTCTAAGCCATCTACAGTAATATATAGAAAACGATAACTTGAATAGAAAAAAGTCGACATTATTGACTGCTACAACGCAACTTGACTGTGACTTATTGGGCTTCTAATGCAACATTTTAGTTTACAACCAGGCCTAGTTCCACTGGGAAGAGGTAGGACTTGACAGTTTTCGTCGCAAATAATAATAATGGATATGTTCGAAAGTTGTAGCATGAGTCGCTAAATAGGAGCGAAATGCACTTCAGTTTCTGACTGGAACTTTTTACTGTGATTAGAGGAAACTACTCACATAATAATCGAGGTCCTGAGCCATCCCAGGAGTTGGCTTTTAGTTAAATTAATATTTCAATTTTAAACTTCCTCGGCTTCCAGAAACAGTGAACTTTGTGAGAGGATATATGGATGCCTCAAATATTTTTTAAAGGCCTGCCAGACAGCCTACATCAGATTCTACTACTTTGGGATTCGAATGATGTATCTGTAATGATACGGCACAAGTTAGGCGAGCCACTTTAAACAATCCACAACTTCGATTTGACCTGACTGAAAAATATGGACAGGGTTTCGCGGCAGCCCGAGGAATTTCTAAAAGAAAGCCAGCATGAGACTGTGCATTAAGTGGCATTAAGTTTTCTGCTTATATTGCCAGTGAGCACTACAGTAGTCGCCGGTTATTAAGCCCTCCTCGGGCCCAGACAAAATTGGACTTAATAAGCGGCGGGCGCACTAACCGTCGAGTCCTAGTTATTGATTAGCAAACGCAGGATAGGCACTATACATTACATAC